TGCTTAGTGTGAGGGATTGCCTTCGAGTCACTGAGTCACTCATGCATTCAACTGGTTTTCTTTTGGAAAGAAAACTTTCAATCAATTTGACTGAATGGTCTGGTGAACTGTAAAGTGCCTTTAGATGACGTGTTGCAAAATGGCTCTATAGAGATAAACTGAGTTGAATTGTACAATAAATGATAAGCTTTTTTAATTAAGAGTAATTTTATTGGAATCGCTTTACTGGAAGCATCCATGTTTGTGAAAGAACACTACTGCCACCTACAGGTTTGTGTGCGGTATCGGCTGGTAATCAACGCGCTATTATCCAAGTCATCTTGAAAACATTCTTCTTCCAAATGTTGGCTACATATTACTCATCTATTTGTTCTCTGGCCAGAATTTCGTTGGCAAATCCTCCCTCTTCAAGTTGGCAATCCAACGTCGAACCCGTCTGTGGAGGATCAGGAATAACTAATTGTTTTTTCACTTTTACCGGATGTATTCCAACATCCAACATGCCATGCATGTGGGCATTGTCAGTTTCCCTATAGCTCTGGTTAATTTCAATGGTGAAGTCCTCTGGAAATCTTCAATAATTGTTGTTGATTGCAGATGTGTCTAGTAGTTCCCATTGATTTTGCTTGCAAAGCGGGGAGAATGGCGCTAGGCTTACCGCACTGTGATGTCACTGCCGGAAGATGGCAGGAGTGAGGTGTTATGATATTTGGGCAAATATGGCCGCTCCTAGACTCAGTGATTGCAACGAAAATTTTTGTTTTTATTTTTTTAAAGATTAACGCTAAATTCTTATAAATTTTATGTATAATTAATGACCCATTGGTTATCCTCTCTGAACGGACTTTTCCTTTAGCAAACTGTTGAAGAATAGAAATAAAAGTCATCAAGCCTGATGAAGTGTGCAGAAGGAGTGCCGGTCATTAACCACTGGGAGGGTTAAAGTGGACACCCACGTTTGGGGAAGCCGCCACAGACTGCAGACAGGATCGACATTAGCCCCGCCCACCTGACTCTGGCTCCGTCTTTCATGACTTCATTAGAGATCCTTTCAGACCAAGCCAGGGGAAAAGGCTGCATCTCCTCAGAGTTCTATCGCAGTCACTTATTCAACGTATTTCCTCATTTTCCAGAGAATAACTCATGTTGGAAGCAGTTGTGACATTTTGATTAGAGTGAAGCAGCCAATAGAGCCGACCTCATCCTGCCCTCTTAGTCTGAGGAACAAAGATAAAAATACAATATTTTTATGATGAATCTGCTGCACAGATGCCATTACATCTTTAAATTAATAAACATTTATTTATTCAACTATGTAATTTGCTTATTTAATGGCACATTTAAGTAGTTAATGGTGTATTAAATAAATAGATGTAAATTATTTAACAGGACATTTAATGGTTCATGTTAAATTGATTTATTTCATGATGCATTTATCTACTTATTATCCTTTAATCTTGCAAAGTCAACATGCTAAATTTTTTTAGATATCTTTGTCAGATTCAGAACAGAAGGAGCCAGTATTCAAAGCGAGACTGACAGTGGGATAATTAAAAGCTTTTATGTAAGACAAAGAGGGTTGTGGATCTGCTATATCAGGGGCTAGGGTGTCTATAACTGGAAACTCTGTTGAGGAGAAACACAGGTTAGTAACCCTGATAATCTGACGAAGGATGTGATTATCCATGTGAGTCAGTAACCTGGTTTAACAGTTCAATCTAACTCCATAGAACAAGGTAGGATCCGGCCAGTAGGCTACCAACAAGATGTGGCAGATGCCGCTCAGAGTGTCCCAGATGCTGCAGCCCCGGAGAACATACAGGAGTCCAAAGTGATGTCAGGCAAACTGTTCAGACAGTAACAGGCAGATTCAGAAGTCCAGGAGTCCGAGGCCAGGTCAGGCAAACAAATCAGAACAGGAACAGGCTGGTTCAGGGTTCCAGGGGCCCACAGACAGTTCAGGCAGGCCGTTCAGGCAGGAACAGGCAGGCTCAGTGGTTGAGAGGCAGAGGAGGTCAGGATCAGGAAATCAGAAACACCAAAGAACTCTAAACACACTCTCACCACTGGCTAGAGAGAACTAGATAATCTGGACCTTATAGCAAGACTCTTATCCCCCGATAGCTCATCAGGCATCCCATGATGGCAGGCCACTGCACACCAACCATGATGGGTTAAAGGCAGAGGTAAACTGAACTGTTGGCCTAGTTGGTTAGAGCAGTGTGCTTGTGCTCTGAGAAGGTTGCAAGTACGCAGTTCAAATCCCACTGACTCCACTCTGGGTTGAGCAAGACCCTTAACCCCTGATTGCTCCGAAGGCACTGCACAATGGCAGCCCACTCCTCCCCAACGGGATGGGTTAAATGCAGACTTAATTTTTTTCCAAAGTGAGATCAATAAAGTTATTATATTTCCATCAGAGATGCAGCATGCTAAAGAGACACTAGTCATTCGATCTTTTTAGTCTCTAACCCCTTTAAACATCTCTAATTATGAATAAAATCCTAACAGAACTTCCAGCAATGAATCACCATCTGCTAACTAATCCATATAAAACAGCATCAATCATCAGAGTTCTGGGCTTACTGAGAACAATGCTGATAAGAACATTATCAAATCTCTTGTTTACATTTTTAATCCTACATTTGAATCTAACAAACTAAACT